TCTATCTGTCTCTGTCTCTGTCTATCCTTTCTCTTCGATCATGGAGATTGATCGGTTCGAAAATCCATCGAAGGGGAAGAGGAAGAAGAAAGGGGGGGAATAAGAAGGGACGATGCACCTTTCAAATGATCCCCTTTTCGATTCTTTTCGAAAAGGAGGGATAAAGGGGGATGGATGGATGGATGGATGGATGGATGGATGGACTCTCCTCGTTGGAAGAGATTCTCGAGCTTGTGGAAAATTGGCTCGATGCTGTATGCCGAACCATTGTATGAAAAAGGATTTCTAAGTTGAGAGGAAGATTGGGTACAGGGAAACCCTGTTAAAAAATATAAGGAAACCGCTGCTTTGAGGTTTTTCTGGAGGGAGGGGGGAGAAGAAATTGGGAGGAAAGATACTTAACTTCTTCAACGAGATTCGTTTGAGTCTGTTTATCTCCAAGTCTTCTTTTATTTGGAAATTTAAATTTTCAATCGGATAACGAGAAACGATTATTGTTTATAGATTTTTTACCGTTTATTTATATATATTTTGTTGTTTATTTGTTTATTTATATGTATTTTTATCCTAGAAATCATCAATCGTCGAAGAGAATCATCTTGGATCTCGTCTTCCAGAGATTCTAAAATTGTAGCTTAGGCGCTCGATTCAACGAAGGAAATCGAACGATAATTTTAATTTTTGGCTAATTGCAAACTCGTGATGTTTCTCGACGATGCTTGGGAATTAAATCACGTTTCTTTTATCGTCGTTACACTACTTACTCACCGCCAAGTCTTGAGCATGAGAGCGCCGTAAGTGAGGGAAAATCCAATCTCTCGAAGCCAGACACGCACTGTGCAGGTTATGACGTTTGGACGGGGGTACATTACTATCGTCTGAAACAAAGAAATTGATTTCCGTTCCCATAATTCATTCTGCTCCACCCGGGGAGAATATCCTCTCAGATTCATCAGAGAAATTCAATTTCCCTCTGATGGATTTTTGTTGATCGAGGAATCGAATTTTCTTCATCATTGTCATCATTGAAACAGATGGCTTAGGTCTGATAAAGAGATGTTTATATATACGTTTATTCGAAAGTGTTAGGAAAATATATTTATAGTTTTTGAAACAGAATCTGCGATATTCGATGAAAATATTAAAAAATATTTATAAATATAATTTATATTTCCTTTCAATGCGTTATTTAAATTTTTATTCGAAGAAATAATTTCCTAGAACTTTTGTCGTGGAGGGTACGTTACGTGTACAATCAATCGCAAAAGTGTATTACAATCTTCGTATAAAACGAATTTCAAAAATTTATCTTGAAAAATTTGATCTCGAATGAGAATTGTATCCGTATTAATTTCTCTGAAAATTTTCATCAAATTTTCGTATATAATTTTGTTAATTAAATGTTCTTTACTTAGAGGATAATGATGCACTGAAACTCGAATATTTTCTCCCGTTACGAAGTTACGATTTAAAAATAATATTTCAAAGGTTGATTTCATCTTTTCGAAGCGATGTTCCATTAATTAAAAAAATTTATGATGTAACTCTATGGTCTGTACTCACAATCTTGTAAAATTTCAATGAATTAATTCATTCGATCGAACTAAAAATATACGAGAACTTCCGACTGTGAAATAATATCACGAATCTGAAGCACGAAAACGAAGCTAAATGACAAGCTGCTTTCGAATAAAGGTCGAGTAATTTTGCAAAGGAAGTGAAAGAAATTACGAGATTGCACGTGATCCAATATCGATGTTAATGTTAAAAAAAAAAATCTAAAGTTTGAAAAAAAAGAAAAAGAACGAACGAGTTTGTTTCCCCGCTTGATACTAGCATTCTTTTACTTGGCAGAAAAATTTTCTTTCTCGTTTCACGGTGCATCGCGTGGGTATAATTGCCAATAGATTGCCAATCGAGAGAATACTTTTCATAGAGAAACGCGAAATCGCGTGCCGCGTCACGCCACGATTGGATTAACTTTCGTTCAGCGGCGCTGGCGTCGCTTTTATCCCGCCATTTTTGTGCCGAGAGGCCGTCCGTTTCACGGTCGAATGAGGGGCAAGTGTGCTCAATTGCCGGATAAAGGGTTTCCAAACGAACTTATCAATTGTTCCAACAATGGGTCAGAACACGGGAATTTAACACGGATTGCCGTTTTAACAGCTCTCAAATCGTACGATTTTTTTTTTTTTACATTTAACTATTTTTCTTTAATTTTGGGTTAGATTGAGATTTGGATTAAATTCAATTTAAACTTCGATTAAACTTCAATTAGGTTTAGACAATTGAATTAGATTATTGGTTCAAGTTAAATTTTAGGTTAGGTTTATTATAAATCTTTCAATTCAATGGATCGGAACATAAGAATTTAAAGGGATCGAGGATAGTTTTAATAGCTCTTAAGTTATAATTCTTTCCTAGTATAATAATTTTTTAATCTTTCTTCTTTTTTTTTAACTTTTTATGGTTATTAAATTTGAATTAAGTTTAATCTAAACCTCGATTAAGCCTCGATTAGATTATCTAGATTAGACTTCGACAATTAAATTAGATTTTGGTTATTGATTCAAGTTAGGTTCAAGTTAGAATAATATCAAATTATTATTAAGTTAGAATAATATCAAGTTAGGATATAGATAAATTGGATTAAATTTTTAGTTAGGTTCACTTTACACATCTTAATTTAAATTTCTTCGACGTAAAATGTATTGTAATAGTGTTTCATTAAATAATCTTCTAATCTAAAATGTTAAATGTTTTCTACAATTTTAACAAAAGTTACATAAAAATAATCTACTTACGGTGCAGTATATGAAGAACGCACCAAGCACAATGACTCGTAAAAGAACTGGGCTTGCAGCTCTCACCACCTGCGACAAAAGCAAAAATTGCCATTAAAATTAAGAATAAAAAACAAAAATAAAAAGGAATCATATATATACTAGACAAAATTGTAACAAATCTCGAATTTCTCAATTGAGAATCACTGGTGGACGAGCGATTCACTTTAAAAAGTGGAGACGAAACTTGACGAAGTAGAGGAAGTATCCAACGTATTTTTAATTGTTCTAAGAGTAGTTTCTCTCTACTTTTCTCTCCCGTGACACAAGAGTTTACGCAAGAGATAGACACATTATCGAAACTCTGGACTGGTTCATTAAATACGAAATCGGAAGTTGGCGAATTGTATTCGACGAGGAATAACTAACGGTCGATCCGAAGTTTCTAGACACAATGGGAACGGTGTCTTTCCTTCTTAATCCGAGACAAGATTTCTCTGGCTCTCAATCCTCTCGTCTCCTTATCGAATCCGCGTCGAGGACGCAAGGATAAGCATCTCTCTCTCGTTTTGAACTTAATATCGTTCTTTATCTATGATTTTGAGAGAGGAGTTCTCCCTCCCTCTCCTCATTTTATCATCGTAAGCTTCGGTTCAATTTCAAAGTTGAGCATAAGGGAAGTGGAAAAAGTATGATGATACGAAAATCGTTTGAAAATGCGAAATAATGAAATATAATGAAGATTAATTGATAGGAGATTCACGAATTGGAAATGATTTCTCGTGTCTCGGGATTCCATTTAACGAAAGAGAAATATTCTAATAATTTTTTAATCTTTCTTCTTTTTTTTTTAACTTTTTATGGTTATTAAATTTGAATTTTAGTTAAAAGTATTTGATCTGTTTTAAAACTAGTCTAGTTTAAAATATTCTTCTTTTTATGTTGATATTAGTCTTTGTAAATTTATCAAATTAGATTTGTCATGATATTTTCAATTCTTGATTTTCATTGTTGTATAATAAAACAAACGTTTCGTATAAAGTTGAATAATTTCAAAAAGATATTCTGATGTTACTAGTTTTTTTTGTAGATGTAAAGGATATATAAAAATGTGTATGTTTTTTTTCTTGTTTTAAATTTTGTACAATAAAAAATATTTCATATAAAGTTATATATAAATAGTTTCAAAAAGATATATATTCTGATGTTAATTTCAAAAAAATACATATTCTGTAGTTTTTTTTTTATAGATGTAAAGGATGTATAAAAATCATGCATACATATGTTTCTTTTTTTTCTATGTTTTTGAAATAGGATCATAGATTATTTATCAATTGATACAATTTGATATTTTCTATATAAAAAAAAAACATATATTTCTACAAAAAAAAAACATGCAAAATGATAGTTTATTGTTTACGTTACAAACTTCAAATTGAAATATCTCCTAAAATAAATGTTCAAGTTGTATAAAATAGTGGTAAAAAGATATATATAATTCTTTTTAAAAAATATTAATGATCCAAAATCATCCTCATCCCTATCTTTAAAAAATTATTTTCTTATTACGAATAACATGAATTAGAACGAGACAGTAATATCTGAACAAAAACTCTCTAACTTGAATAAATATGAAATCTGTGATATTTACTTGAACATATATATATCGTATCGACGAAGATTCACGATAAAAAGATATATAATTCCCTTTAAAAAATATTAATAGCCTAAAACCCATTCCCATATTCAAAAAATTATTTTCTTCTTGCACGAACAACAACATAATATCTCGTAAACAGAAACTCTCTAACCTGAACAAACCAAAATATTTACTCGAATATTAATCACGTCGACGAGGCAAAATTCGTAAAAATTGGTGAAATTTTTTCACCGCAGAGCAACCGCCGGCTAAAGATAACCGGCCCCGAGTCACTAATCTCCCTCTCTTATCTCTTATCTCGCTCCAAGGAGTGCAAAAAACTTCCCCACTCTCTTTCCCAAGGGAGAGCCCGCCACAGCCACCTACAGTCCAGATCCTCGCCTACGATTCTCAAAAAAAAATAAATAAATAAATAAAATCCCACTATTTCTTTTTATATATATATATATATATAAATGTACTCTCATTACTCTGAGCTATATATACACATATATCTTTCGTAGGGAGTGAATTCGCAATAAAAATGAGAAATCGACGGAGTTCGTTCTCTCTCTCTTTCTCTCTCTCTCTCTCTCTCGCTCGTCGAAACGAGCGAGCGACACGAGTTGAACATTTTACGACCGACTGGCCGCTCGTGCGAAATAAAAGTGGCTCGAAGGAGGGGAGGGGGGAGAGGGGACACGTGCAACCTGCCACTACTCTGCGCTCGAACGTCACTGACCATTTTTATCCATGCGGCACGTGGTATCATCACGCCTCGTCTCGCGCATGCTCGGCGCATTATCCTTTCTTCATTCGTGAATCTTGGTTGGACTCGAGTTGGACGACGAGTTCTCGCGATATTTTACAGTTATTCGATGAAAATAGGAAAATAAAAAGGGGGGAAAGGGATTAAATTGCATTTTTTATCTCGTCTTGATTTTAAAAACAACGCGGTTTCGTTATTGTTGTTGTTGTTGTTGTTGTTGCGACGATGATGCAATCAGAGAAGCCTATTCAGCCTTGAAATTGAACGAGTATGAAGTTTCGTGAGCGAAGATTGGGTAGTTATGAACAACTGTAATTACGAGTAGTGCGTTGGTGTGGAAGGGAATGTAAATTAGAATGTTGAAACTCGGTAATATATACATATTTTCGTGAGAGAGAACTTTTTTGCAAGTTGGAGAAAGTTAGAGATTAGAGTTTCATTTTGAAATAGACAAAGATGGATTTATTGGACTTGTCTCTATTCTCGTATAATTCAATTTACGCGTTAAAATTTAAAGATGCCTGTCTGATTTTACGATCTCCATTGATTATTTATTGCGTGGAAAATTTAGAAAATCCATGAAACAACACGAAGAAGTTTACAATGAAGAGAAATGTGCCAACGTTTGTGGAATATTTTATAGAATCTCGCGAGGGAGGTGTTAAAACAAAATAAGGGGATAAAATTCTTATCGAATTTCCCCTATAAAATATAACCGCAAAGGGAAAAGCGAGGACAAAATTCGTTAAATAAAATTGGAAGGGAGGGGTTAAAACGAATAGAAAATCGTATTTAAATGAGACACGATGAAAAAAAAAATGGGTTTTGAACATGACGTGAAGAGGGTGAAAACGCATTTAATCAGTAGATAGTAGATGGTAGGTAAGATGAAAAGGAACTCTTTAATGAAATTTCGGATCGTAACGCGTAATGTTTCGCGTTGCAAGAGTAACGCTCGAATAAAATAAAGTAGACGGCTCGAAAAAAAGAAGAAGAAGAAAAAAACGGCCACTCAAAGGAAAACGTTCAAAGGGAAGCGAAACGCTTGTCGCGAAATGAAGGAGGAGGAAAGGAAATCCTCTGACGCGTGAGTCACGAAAAAAACGTCACGAACAGCGTGATCGTGGTGAAGGAAAATCTTAATGCATTTAAACGAGACGTTTGTGCGATAAGATGCGTTGAAGAAAATTTAATTCTTTATTAATTATTCGAATCCATTTTCGATTTTAATTATTCAAAAATTGTATAGAATGAAAATTTTATAGAATTCAAATATTATAATATCAATTAATGCGAATAAATTTGGAGATTGTTTAATATTTATTAAAAGTGTAGAAAATTCAAAGATATCCGAAGTATTCGGATTTTTAAAAAAGGTATCATCAAAATTTCAAAAATGGATCGATGAATATTCGATTTTGTATTCAGTAAAATTCGTTCTAAAATAAAATTTTTCCCCAAAATTTTGACCTTCGATGAATATTCCATTCGATTTTGTATACGAATTGTAAAAGAAATTTCTAAAAGAAAATTCGATCTTTTCTCGAAATATTTTTCGAGAACCTGTGTTTTAACGCGTCATTCAACGCTGTTCATTTCCTCAAAGTAAGGAAATGGCGATAACCCATTTGTTCCCGCACTTTAGTTTTCCTATAAGAGCTATGAATAACGGTAAATACGGCTTACCTTCATTCGAAACGCTATTCCCCTTGTTGTTCGCAGTGGATTAGTTCCAGTAATATTCTCGACGAAATATTATCGTCCACGGTAATTTTTCCATCTTTGCTTCATTTTCTAATGGACCGAGACCATGAATTTCACTGAACGGCGAACGTTTAAACAAAATATTTCATCGTTTTAACGTTTACACAATTTTTTATTTTAAATCGCGAAATTTTATCTTTTTGATAAATTTCACTATACCTTTCGTCTTTTTAATTCTGTAAAATCCTATTCTATAAATTTATCACTTTTTTTTTTCACCAAACGATTAAACACACGAATTATTCTCCAATTTTATCTTTACTCGATATTACTCTCTCTCTCTCTCTCTCTCTCTCTCTCTCTCTCTCTCTCTCTCTCTCTCTCTGTTTGTCTGTCTGTCCGTCTCTCTCTCTCTCTTTCTCTCCTTTCCTCTGTGTTTTCAACTAATAATTAAATTCAATTAATAATCCTTTTCAATATATTTTTATGGCCTTTATTATATCCACTATATCTCAATATTGAAAGTATTTACAAGTTTATTGAGTAATCGTTTATTAAGTAAATAAGTTACAAGTTTATTAAGTAAATAAGTCCAATCATATAAGTCTTGAACAAAATGAATTCTTCCTTTCTTTTTACTTATTATTCTTTTTTCCTTCTTTCTTTGTAAAATTTTTATTTTATATTACAACATTTATATTATATAATTACAAAATTGAAAAATAATCATATTTACTTACTTTATTTATTTTATTTAGTTTTAATTTTGAATAATTATTTTATAATTAAATATAATTATTATTAAATATTATTATATATATCTCTTTTCTAAATATTATAATATTTATATNTAAAAACCAATCGCAATGATATAATTATTCTTGATTCTCTTCCCTCTATTCTTAATCCTTCTCTATGAGATTAATTTTCCTTTCTGCTCCAAGTTTTCCAAAAACCTTGTTGGAAAAAGTGTTTTCA